GTTAAGCACCGAATGTCAAGTTGCATTCATTAAAAAGCCAGAGAGAATAAGTCCACTCCGCTTTTTATCTAATCGGCTCAATTGGCACTTCATTTAATCAAGGAATGCATTACATCACTTCACTTTGCTTCATATGGCAACATGTATCCACCAAATGTAAGCGAACCCAAATACCTAATGCTCAAAAAGTATAATAGATGAGGAGATATTTTTGCTAATTTCGTTCTGCTTTAACGTAATGATATAAACTACAGTAATTGATACACTATTCTTGTACTAAAATAATTTTTAAACATAATTTGGACAACTAATAGCAATACAAAATACCTGTTGGCGAATAGCTTGAGCAATCGCCGGGACAAAAGTGGGAGCGCTCAAATCAAGGTCATCACAGAGCAACTCGGCAAACTGTTCAGGTGTGATGAGCTGTTCATTCCTGTTCCAAGTGAAACAATCACGCAACTTCACACCATCTGATTCGACGTCTAGTCGGATAGGAACTAAGCATTCGGGAGCCTGGGCGTTTATGTGGAAGGCCACTGGGTCTGAGTCATCCAAGCAGAATGGAAATACAGCCTGTTGGTGGTGTTGTTGGACCTTATTATTGGCTGCTTGCTTGTCTGAGTAAAAAAGTTGCAAATCAGTGAAGGGTCAAAGTAAAAAATTATGGATGATAAAAGAGCAGTTACAACATAAACTTGTATTATAATGACATTCTAGACAATTGTAGTCACTCATCTCAATCTTGGTTTAGCTTCATTATGTGACACGTGACCTATCTTTCTCTGTGAATTTGTATTTTTACTCTTCCCTGCTACCTAATCTCCAGAATTTCTTAATCCGCAAAGTCAACTGAGAGAGGCTGTACTATTTCACAAAACATGCCTTATAATCAGTTTTCTAATTTGGCATACACCACTCATATTCATGATTAGTAGGTTTCTGTATTATCAGTAATCATGAATAAGAGCTGTGGTCACCCCAAGCCTCATAAGGAAATGAATGACTAGCAATTGAATTTCTCCACAATGAAATGAATACGCCTCGTGTTTATATTGAATTCCACATAGCCTTGCCTCGCAAAACTGATGGTAACACCATTTTTTATTATCTATAAGCCTATAAATACACAAATAAAAATAAAAACGAAGAATATAAAAACAAGCATGAGGTATATTTACCCTATTTCGTTTAAGGTGATTAAGGACTGGTAGTAGAATTTTCCCACAATGATATGAATAGAGCTGACATTTCCATTGAATTTCACATAGC